TTGAGCTCACTTGCGCCAACTCAGGATCTCCCTCCTGATGGACAGCGATTTATTCCAAATCAGTCGCCAGACGTAAAAGTTCGCGAAGTCCTGGGAGGGACATTGCGTCGGCTACGACGTTGTCAGCGGCATCTATATGACGGATGTCAATTGTAAACCGCGACATGTAATCAAGGTGTAGAGTTTCACAAGGAAAAAGCGATCTGAAGAACCACGGAAGGCAAAAGCAAGTGGCTTATGGTCTGTAAGAATGGTAAATGAACGACCTTCGAGGTGTCGAAAGTGTTAAATGGCGAGATAAATGGCCAAAAGTTCTCTTCTGAAAGTTTGTGCAGATTGCACTTTACGAGAGAAAAAGGATTTTGATTCAGAATGACCATTGCTAAATTGTTGAAGAACGGCACCAGATGCGGTTTGTAACACATCGGTTTTAAGGACGAAATGTGTATTAACACCAGTCGCAAATAGGGTCAGTGCGGTGACGTTGCACAAATCATGTTTGCTCTTGTCGAATGCTTTGAATGTTTCGTTCGTTAGTTTGAATTTCCTAGTCTTTCAAGCAAACCGGTTAAAGGTTGAGGCAGTTTAGAGCAATCAGGTATAAAGCGGCCGTAATTATTCGCCATACCGAGGAAACGGCGCAAGCCTATGTAGAACTGCAGAATCGTATATTCCGTGATCGCCTTCGTATTTTTCGGTAGTGGACTGATACCGTTGCGATTGATTCGATGACCGAGAAAATCAACACTGGACTGGCCAAAAACACATTTGTCCACGTTGATAGTGACGTCATGATAATCATAACGTTCCAAGATTTGGCGAAGATGAGGTAAATGTTCTTCGTGGTTATAGCTGGCCACTAGAATGTCATGGTCGCAACGAGACTGGACCTTAACGTGATGCGACGGTTTGTGTACCTCATTGCCCCATTGCGCTATACTGTGTGGTGCCTCCGGGCACCTTGGGAGCTATTCCTACCAGGTTGGTCAGTGGTGAGAGGTCAGACAAACTCAGTCTCCTAGTCCTCCAGCTTGGGGATTTGAAATGGGATGGCGTCCATTTCTGTAAAATTAAATCGTTGCCACCTCCCCGCTACCTTTCAGACAGGCTTTTGAGCCAAAGGCTTTGTATGAGGACCCTAATCGTCTTCCTGTCCAGGTCTGCGTGTGCTGGCAGGATCTCAGCCCACATACAACCATGACATCTTCTTCAAACATATACTTCATTCCGCACCGGCCGTCGCGCAGATTACCAAGGGTCGCATTAGCTGCTGCCTACAACAGGGCGGATAAGCGCAAACAGGCTATTGCTGGTGCCTCTCTTCTTTCTTTTTCACCTGTTTCTCTTACTCTCATCCCGACCCCCATTACTAACCTACCTACTATAATTCCCAGCTTGATTGACAGTAACCGAAGTGCCACTGGAGTAGAACCATCTGCAGCCACCATCCCACAACTATCGGACGCCTATCGGCAAAAGTCCCTTATAATGCCACGCTGTCCCGTTTCCATGGCCACGTTCAAAGTTCGCACTCAAAGACAAACACGTCAACATGCTGCACTCGCACGCACCTCGTGCGTCCGAAACTAGGATCAATGACTCTTATGGTGTTGTTGAATTAACTGCACCCGGCTTCTCCTCTCGTTATTGGTTGCACGCATCCGGAGACGCCGGTGCAGCACTCACAGGTCAAGCTGGTGCAGATATCATTCTAAGCTCCAAGGCTGAGCCATCGTTAGTTGATTGGATTCCGGTGAACAGCCGTTTATGTACATCAAATAAGGTTGATTCACGAAGTAGTACAAAACGCTGTTTGTTTGTGATTTCCGTCTATGCTCTCACCGACTGCAGTTCGGATGTTGTCATGGACACATTCTATCATGAACTGAACGCGCTACTACTCAGTGCTACTATTTCAGATAGTATAGTACTTGCAGGGGATATGAGAGCACAAGTAGGGCGTCTGAGCTCTTCAGAAGCTCAGCTGGGTGGTAATTATGGACTTAACTCCGAACAGACTGACAACGGTGAGCGTTTGCTGCAACTGTGTGCGGAGCACCAGTTGTTTCTTAGTGGCACTGCTTTTAGACACAGTGGGCACTGAAGTGCCACTTGGCGTCCTCCTGTAGCTGGCCAGCGATGGACCCAGATTGACCACATTACCATAATTTGCAGGTGACGTGATTCCATCCTGGATTGCCGATCGTACTGGAGTACCTGCGTCGACTCTGATCATGCCTTGGTACGGTGTCGTTTCTCCGTGAACTTTACCGGGAGGCCCACAAAATGTCTCTTCCGATTGGCAACTGAGAAATTGTCTCAGCCCTCTATCAGGCAAGCCTACCAAGACGCGCTGCGTACCGAACTTTCGCTGTCTTCTTCTAATGACACTGAGCTTCAGTGGAATAGGATCTCGGCCGCCATGTACGACGAGGAGCATCTGCTTTTGGCACTATCAATGGTCACCGCACCAGTCACTGGATATCCGAGAGGTCGGTGGACCTGTTGGAATCTAGAAGAAACCTCCCGGTTGGCTCTGAGCACAATGTGACCAGACGGGCTATTAGGCGCGAACTAAAGCGGAGCCTACGTGCTGACAAGGAAGCCTGGTGGACCAGTCGGGCTCAAGAAATGGAGGAGGCAGGAGCAGTAGGCAATTACCGCAAGCTCTTCCAGCTAATCCGCACCACTGGTCCCAGGAAACCAGGTGTCAGTGAGGCAATCAGAGACAGCGCGGGTGCACTGATACACAATAAGAAGCGCCGTATGGCTCGTTGGGCGGAACACTTTCAAGATCAGTTCAGCTGGCCTCCTGCTTCCGGACCTCTTCCTATTCAGGTGATGTAGGACGAGCCATGGACGGTTAATTTCGAGCCTCCGTCGGAGGATGAGGTCCGAAACGCGATCACAGCCCTCAATCGTTTTCGTGCCGCTGGCCCGGATTCCCTCCCACCTGCACTATTTAAGGATGGAGGCGAGGTCCTCTGCAATGCGCTGACCTCCCTATTCGAACGTATCTGGAAGTGTCCCGGCTAATTGGAGCATATCGATTATAGTGGCAATATATAAGAGGGGCAGTCGCACAGCCTGTTCTAACCACAGGGGTATTAGCCTAACACCAGTTGTGACAAAATTACTGGCCTCGATTCTCGTTCGTCGCCTTACTGTGGAACAGGAATCTCGGATTAGAGAAGAACAGGCAGCTTTCCGCCCAGGACGTGGCTGTATAAACCATATATTCACTTTGCGGCAGATGCTAGAGCAGCGCCACGCATACCGCAGACCGACAATAGCTGTGTTCCTCGATTTCAAGAGTGCGTTCGATTCAGTCGATCGATCGATTCTGCTCGAAATACTTGCGCGGAAAGGTGTTCACATGAAATATGTGAACATCCTTTGTGGTCTATACTCGAACACCACAGGCCGCATCAGGGTCTGCGGTGCCCTATCGGATAGCTTTCCGACTACAAGTGGCGTTCGTCAGGGTCGTCCGATTTCCCCATTTTTGTTCGATTTCGTCGTGGATTCTATCATGGTGTGTTCCCTTGCGGAATCTCACGATGTAGGCGTTGAAGTGCTGCCTGCTGAAAGATTAGTTGATCTTGATTATGCGGACGATATCGTCTTGCTTTTTGACACTGCTGCGGCAGCACAATCAACCCTGAATAGCCTGTCCAGAGTGTTCCCATTATTCGGTATGCACTTCGCACCTTCAAAGTGCAAAGTGTTGCTGCAAGACCACCAGCCACTTTATTGACCGTTGACACTTTCTAACGAGGAGCTCGAAATCGCTGATCAATTCACTTGTCTTGGCAGCTGCATCAGCAACGATGGGCGCATAGAAACTGACGTCAGCTCACGCATTGTAAATGCCAGAGCTGCCTTCTTGAATCTGCGACATCTTTGGCAACAGAAGGGAATTTCCCTCCGTCTGAAACGCAGTGTATACAAGGCCACAGTGAGGGCCTTTCTGCTCTGTGGTAGTGAGATTTGGCCCGTTCGGTCTGAAGATCTGAGGCGCCTTAAAGTCTTTGATCATCGTTGTCTGCGAAGCATTGCTGGTGTCGGATGGCACCAGCGTGTCCGCAATGATGATGTGCGTAGGCGAGTATTAGGTAGTGATAATCATGCTAGCTCCCTAGAACAACAGATAGCACTGAATAAGTTGCGTTGGCTCGGGCACGTGCTACGTATGCCTGGTCAACGCTTACCTAGGAGGGCCATGTTTAGTCTACCAGGTGTAAGGTGGCGCAAGGCTCGAGGTGGACAGAAGTTGACGTGGCAGCGGGAACTGAAATTAATGACGAGAAAACTGGGTGGCGTTGGTCCGTCTCGCCTTCCTAGCTGGAGTCCACGTGACCTGCCTTGTGCTTAGTTCGAGACTTTACAGGATATGGCTCGCAACCGACACCAGTGGCGCGTCTGCTGCCGTCTCCTAATCGGATTGCCTGTTTAAAGTGTGTTTGGTGCTGAGTTATCTGTGGGGTAATGGCTGATTATGACGCGTGGCAGTGAAAGCCGCAAGGAAGCTGTCTCGCCGATGCCGCCTTATCTTTGCACGATAGCCAGCTGTTTGTGACGGTATGTTGTCTACACAAAGTGTAGGCGCCTTGACCCTGAATGTTTGCTTAGGGCATTAAGGTTTTCAGGTAAGTCACCCTTCTCTCCCTCTTCTTATTCTTTATTTCATAGATCCTCATGGTTGTATGGCAGCGAAGCATCAGTTCAAATGGCGATGATGATACTGTTTCCTTTTACGGAACCAAACGTCAAAGATTGAATGCTTGGATCAAGATCAACAGCCGTTTTTATCTGTTGGAACATGTGGACCCCTATTCCAGTCTTAACTTGCCCCGTAATACACATTTCCTCTGTCGTACTTCTCACTCGCTGCCTGCTCGCTATTCAACGATAACTACGTGTTCCTACTAACCACTACTGACTAAGTGGTTGTGATAACTTCATCAAACCGTCTACAGAATATTTATTTTGTCTTCCAGCTCTACGGGCCTATTACGAACACCTTTACGCGTTGGACGCGGAGTTCCTTGGAAACATCGACCGGACGCACACTACACTCGGTCCCTTTATGTGCTTACCGTAATTCAATCGTGACAGCTTGATTTACAGGGCAGAGCAAAGGCGAATTATTTGCTCTAGTGACTACAAACTTTTCATTTGAGTGGATAGCAATTATTCATCGCAAGGCCAGATTCTCGAGATGTGTGGTCGAACGGCTTGGTAAAATACTTACAAATGCATACATCTGCAGCGCCCTTGATCCAGACACATTACCCAAGAAATGTACATTGAACATTCGCTATCAGTCTTCATCCAAAGGCAAAACGACAACAGTTGTACCTCGTTGGAATACAACAAAGGGATCCAGCGCTTACGTTCCTTCATATAACATCGCTCCTGGATCCTATTCGTAAGTGTCCATAACTATTTTGTGTTTGTCAGTGTTACTATTTTACGAAAGTTACAAGGCATCATCTTAAGTCTCCAGAGCTGTGAGCCTTACATCTAGGTATTCCTACCGTCTCTGTGATCAGATCGAGGGCGTATTTACTCCAGTCGATCGGCTGACATAGCATGCAAATATCCTATTTTGTAGCTTGGTGTAAACAGCTCTGGAAGTTTCGATGGCCAGTTCATAGTGTATGCACTGTTTAATGTTATCGAATACAACAGGAGACACATATTTCGCAAGTATGCACTACATTGCCAAACCAGTGCTTCTGCGAATAGCAACGAAATGTTTTGGTCGAAGAATTGGACTCCTTGCTTGTTGACTAAATTATAATGGAATAGAGTTGGCCCATTAAATCGGCAGACATCAAGAGACTAGTTACCTTCGACAACTGGTACCTTCACAGTTTGGCTCTTATCTGGTGGGAACACCGTGTAAGAAATGTGCGTGTTCGACGCCTCATTTATGGCACAGGAAGAATAAGTGAACCGCTCGGCACCGTTATGTCACGTACGAGTCTCCGATGGCTGGGCCGCAGGTTGCGCATGTCAGTCCACCGACTCCTGTGGCATGTTGTTTACGCGCCGTGGATGTGGATGGAAGAAGATGAGAGGTGGCCAAGCTGTGATTTGGTCCAGAAGAATGAAGACCCCTAGTTCGAAGTTGGCCTCAGTTGGAGCCTCTCGGCTTCCTGGTTGGTGTCCGAGAGATGATGAACACGTTTGACTGGATACACTTGTTGATATGGCTAGGAGCCGACTTCAGTTGCATTGGTGTTATGGGTTTCTTTGTCCCTTTTCCTACCGCTTAACTTTCCTCTCCAACCACGATCTTAATTCATATGTATAATATCACACTTTTTTGTGACACAATGCATTATTTTCTTTTCTAATGTATTGCGTCACAATAGCTGTGTTTTCCACCTCTAGCTAACGTGTATAATGATGATGATGAATGGGATGGAGTTAAGCGGGACATTTTGAGTCAGGACAATATGAGTTGTGGATTAGAACGGAATACGGAATAGTTATGATCAGTAAGTGAGAATATAAAATCAATGTTTAATCTCTTATCATTTTGGTATTGCGGCACACCATCGGTTAACGTGTATTGGTGGTGATGATTGTTGTGCTAAGGAATTAGCCTGATAATCACCTAACACGCCTTCGAACATGATGGTTGCAACCACGGTAGTGCCAGCCGACACCTGCAGTGCTTCGCAGGCAGCGATGATCATAGACTTAGAGGCGCTTCAGGTCCCCAGATCGCACAAGATGTCTCACTTTCATAGAATAGGACAACCCTCACTGTGGCCTTGTAAACACGAACTTTCAGACCAAGAGGAACCTCTTTCGGACCACACAGATGTTGCATTTTCAAGAAACCCGTCCTAACTTTTACAGTACGTGAACTGACTTTATTGTCTTTGGTCCCATCGCTGCTAATGCAACTACCAATGTAAGTGAATTGATCAACTGCTTCGAATTCGTCGCTGTCAAAAGTCCAGGGGTCATCAAGGGCCTGGTGGTCCTGCAGCAACTTGCACTTTGAGAGTGTGTGAAGCACATGCCAAATAATGGGACCACTTGTGAATATGTTCAGGGTTAATTGGATTGCCACAACATCGTTCGCACAATCAAGATCAAATAGCCTTTCGCCATCATCAGAAATACACGTTAACCGAGGGTGAGAAACATACCTCACCCAATGTGCGCAATACAAAATGTAGGGTGTTAAGCACCGTAGACTTAAACGCTATAATTAATATAATGCAAATATCACATTTTTGTCCGTTGTTTAGAGGAGAAGCTAGAGGAAAGGGGAGGGACAAGAAGACAACACAAACGCCACTGAAGTCGACTCTTTGTCATGTCAGTTATTGTATCCAACCAAACGTCTTCATCATCCTTCGGACCCTAGCCAGGTAGTCGGGAAACACCAACCGACGCCAACTTCGAAGTGAGACACTGCATTCATCTTGATCAAGTCATCGCTTGGCCTCCCCTACTCGGCTCGCAGAGAACGCATGTCACTGGAGTCGGTGGGCTGGCATGCGCAACACGTGGCCCAGTCATGGGAGCCTGGTACGTGATATACGGGTGCTGAGGGGTTCACTCGCTCTTCCTGCACCAAATATGCAACGCCGAACATGCTCATTGCTCACTCCGTGCTCCTACCAGCTATGAGCTAAGCTAACCAGCTATAGGCGGGCGGTGCTAATAAGATACAGCCGGTGCTTTTCGCACAACTGCAACTGACGCTCGCCGTTGTCCGTACGGTTGGAGTTAAGCCATTTGCTACCTTGCTGAATTACTCTGACGACCTAATTGCACATTCATATGCCCTACAGAAACAACAATATCTGAATTGGTAACTGCGAACCGCGTGCTTCACTCCTGGTAGAAGCTGAGCTTGGCAACATCGGCGCTGAAATAGGTTGGATCACAAACGGAAACTACGAACAAACGGCTTATTGTACTACTCCGAGAATCAAATTTTTTTAATGTCGTCAAACGAACTGTACACAAACGGTGTTCATCAGAATCCAATCAGCTGAGGTTAACTCAGCCTTGAAGCTGAGAAGTATACCCAGTCCGGCTTGAACCGCGATTACTGCATCAGCGTTTCCGGATGCGTGCAACCAATAGCGAGAGGACAAACCCGGCGCAATTAATTCAACAGCCCCGTGAGGGTCATTGATCCTAGTTTTGGACGCACAACACGCGTCAATACCCAAAATATCATACATGCTTGCGAGTGCAGTCTGTTTACACATTTGCCGCAGAATCCGAACATTGACTGCCACCAGGGAAATTGAACAGTGTGGCCTTCTGAGGGGCTGATAGCGGTAAGCGTTCAGTGGGTGGCGCCGTAAGATTGCTACAAATGGTATCACTCCAGTGACAAATAAGCTAGGACAAATCCTTGGTATGTGAGTAATAATGGTCGTGGCAGACCATGTGGTGCGCTGCGGTTCATCATCATCATCAACAGCAGTACATCAGCCATTTGAACTGATGCTTCGCTGCCATACAACCATGAGGAACTATGAAATAAAGAATAAGAAGAGGGAGAGAAGGGGACTTACCTGAAAACCTTAATGCCCTAAGCAAACATTCAGGGTCAAGGCGCCTACACCTTGTGTAGACAACATTCCGTCACAAACAGCTGGCTATACGTGCAAAGATAAGGCGGCATCGGCGAGACAGCTTCCTTGCGGCTTTCACTGCCACGCGTCATAATCAGCCATTACCCCGCAGATAACTCAGCACCAAACACACTTTAAACAGACAATCCGATTAGGAGACGGCAGCAGACGCGCCACTGGTGTCGGTTGCGAGCCATGTCCTGTAAAGTCTCGAGCCAAGCACAAGGTGAGTCACGTGGACTCCAACCCGGAAGGCGAGACGGACCAACGGCACCCAGTTTGGTCGTCAGTGACTTCATTTCCCGCTGCCAAGTCAACTTCTGTCCACCTCGAGCCTTGCGCCATCCTACACCTGGTAGACTGAACAAGGCCCTCCTAGGTAAGCGGTGACCAGGCATGCGTAGCACGTGCCCGAGCCAACGTAACTTATTCAGTGCTATCTGTTGTTCTAGGGAGCTAGCATGATCATCACCACCTAGTACTCGCCTACGCACATCATCGTTGCGGACACGCTGGTGCCATCCGACACCAGCAATGCTTCGCAAACAACGATGATCATGGACTTGAAGGCGCAGATCGTAGATACGCGACCCTACACTGTTCCCTCCCCCCTGCTATACCCCCTGCTAGCCCTACCTACCACAGCCTACGAGCCCCTCCTTCAGAACCTCACCTTCCCCTCACTGCATGTAGAGGCGGCCCGTGAAGCGTTGCGGCGCAAACTTACGATTAATACAACCCAAGAACACTACCCGGGTACTTTTCCTGTGTGAGTAAATAATCTTACTTTGAAATTAATAAAGAATCCCAGACAGAGACCCCACAGCCTCAACAGCGTATTGGCCGTCATCTCACAGACGACGGACGTCAGAGATAGCACATCCGGTTCCGACAGGAACATATAGACAGAGCAGAGACAAATCCTGACGCCCTAGCGCAGCCCCTCCGGATCACCCACCCCACGGGACCGGGTGACTGGACTTGGGGTACCCCGAGGCATAATCCCTTGCCCAGGACGCGTGCCACGCGCCAAGCGCACAGCGGTCATTGACGCGCGCGGTGAACCGTACCCCACAACTGGCCTGCACCCCGCCGTCCCCCGCGCCTGCGACATGCCCTCCTCAAGCCCCCCCATCTCCAATTTGCCCTACGTTTCCGATCCCACCCGCTCTACTCTGTGATGTTTAGGTGATCTGCCTTTAGTATATTGATCCCTATCCTGCCCCCCCGTCCACCCACACTCCCCCCAGGGTCCCGTCGCCACCCTCCGCGGCTCTCTCCTCGCTACTCAACTACCTCCACCCGACGCGGTCAGCGCCCGCTCCCATCCGCCCTCAGGTCCCCCACTCGCCGCCCCTGCCCCCTTCATCCGCCCGCCCCCCGTTGCTTCCTAATCCTCCCAGGGCCTCCCCCTCGCTCCCGCGGCACCCCGAACTCCCTCGGGGCCCATACTGCCCCCCCTCCCTCCACGCTCACGCTCCCTCTGCCCCTAACCTCCCGGCTCGATAGGGAACCAATTCGCAACCGCCCCCCGGACTCACTACCGGCTCCCGGATCAGCTAGAGGGCATCCTCAGATTCTTCAGACCGAAGGGGTCCAAGTCTCACTACCATAGAGCAGAACGGCCCTCACTGTGGCCTTGTA